AAAGAAATTCAAATTAAAACAATACACCTTTTGTTTGTGTGCCAATGCAACTGGCAAAGTTTATAGTACTGTCAAAAACACACTGAAACTGGTGCTTTTCTTATACTGCTTGTGGTCATATAAATTGATACACCTTTTGGAGGGCAGTTTTGCAGAATAATAATAATAATGACTTAAAATAATTTAAAAGGTTCATACTCTTGGGACTCAGCCACCTCCCTGGAAGAAACTGCCGAAGGAAACCAGAGAGGGCACCTAACAATGTACCTGTAAGAATGCTCACCACAGTGCCATTTACAGCAGGGGGGAAAAAACTGAAATAAAACTAAATGTCCATGAATAGAGCACTAGACAAACTATGGGTCAGTAACTTGTAAAAGATTAATTAGTAACATGGGAAAGTGCTTGTGTCATAGTAAATAGAAAAGGCAGTTCTAAAACAGTTCCACCAAAAATCCTGGAAGGATGTACACCATAAAGTTGACAGGCATTATCCCTGGTGCTGGACTGAAAACTAGCATCTATGATTTGAAATCAGGAAAACACACAGTTTTAAGAGACTATGTGAAGATCACAAACAATTTCTTATTCTTACAAAGCATCTCAAGCTCACAGTTCTTGTGGTTTTTTTGGTTTTTTTTTTTTTTTGACAGGGCCAGCCAGTGTGCTCATTCATTCTCTTGTATTCCTTAACACTCTGCAATACAAGGTGGAAAATACAAGGTGGAATCAAGACAGGCCAAATGGTTTACAAACCCCCTTTCCCAGCTCACCTTAAATCAATGCCAAATCCAGGCTACACCAGGGCCCCTTCCAAGCCCACTGTCCCAGTGCTGCTCTAATACTGAACCATAGGGCATGCGAACTGTCCACGAGGAGCCCAGAGAGAGGCTAGTGAGAGCAGGCCCTCTGTGGGGCTGGGGCGGCATGGCAGGGTGGTCTGGGTTCCAGTGGGAATAACACAGCCCAGGAGATGAGCTCCATCAGTCGGCATGACCTTCACATACTCACATACCTGCCCCATGGAGACACATTTCTGATCGTCTGCACAGGCCCGTGGCAGTGCAGAGGGTGGGACAGCCTCAGTACCTGGTCTGAGTATCCCTGTGGGTCCCATGCTGTCTCTGAGCAGCTCTTACTACCTGGGCATCTCCCCTGCAAAAAAACCAAAATGGTAATTCAGCTTATTTGCAGAAGAACCTCCTGAAATTGAAACAGCCAAGAACAGGGTCATAACACAGATGATTTTCCCAGGGTACAAAGCTCTTATTCTTAGTGAGCAGGCACCGAGTGGTGGGGCTCCCTATCCAGGGGTGAGCGTGACTTAGGGACCAGGAATGCAGACGAGGGGAACCTCTCACACCATCAGAGCTCCAAGGGCCTTAGGAATCAGGCTCTATTGCCCTCTAGCAGTCTGAGTAAGGCAGCCATTTAGAGCTTACCTCCATTCTCCCAGGCTTTCACTTCTAGGGAGGTTTTATTTTCTGAGAACCCCCAGTAATGTGGGAGTGACATGCAGACAGTGTAGAGCACACCTCGCTCACAGAAACAGGACCCCTTCTTGGGGCCCTCAGCTATGCCACAGGCCATTGGTCACACTGGAGAATTCCAAAGGTTTTCTCCAGAAAACCATCCGCAGGAGTTTATAAAGCAAACTTAGCCTTGCTTTCCAACACAAAGCAATGGCACAGCATTTCCTTAACAAACGTACCCTC